GTAAGTATTGATGCAGTAGCTGTTACAGTGATGGCCCTCAATGGGCAATATCTCCCATGTCTGTGCCCTTGTTTCGTCCTCTCCTATAGCCTTGATCACGTGATTTGCTTTTGTCAGTGGGATCCTAGCAAGCATGATGCAAGCAGAAGCTTGGCAAGAGCTTGTCTGTGGGGCTTGTACAGACTGTACTTTCTAATTTCCTTATTCTTAGTTTGGGACTTTTGTCCTGGAGACATGGTCCCTCCCAGGCTCTCTAATATCTAGAGATAGTAAATGACTTCCCTGCAAGTGTACCTTTTTTAAAAAAATGTTTGTTTTCATTATTTATTTTTGAGAGAGAGAGAGAGAGAGAGAGAGAGAGCAGGGGAGGGGAGAGAGAGAGGATCCAAAACAGGCTTTACAATGTCAGCGCAAGCCCTCCTCGGGGCTCATACTCGCCAACCGTGAGATCATGACCTGAGCCGAAGTCGGACGCTTAACCAACTGAGCTTCCAGGCTCCTGCAAGTGTACCCTTGATGCACCAACCAACCAATCCAGAGTCCACAACTTCTAATCTTTTTTATCCAAATCACACACCAAGCCACCACTTTTCCGCCTGCCCTTGTTTCTAGGGATGTTGTTAAACTTCTATCTTCATGACCATCATTTCTGTCTGAACGTCATACCCGGCTAAAACTAATCCCAGGCACATTTTTAGAACAGGGTTTGTTTTCCTAAAATCCTTTCTTTAAAGTCAGTCACTGTGCATTAAGAGGTTCGGGCAAACACTGCCGAATGAGGAGTGAGACCCTGGAGGACGAGAGGTCATCTTGGAGTTTCTGGCACCAGCTGAGCTCTCAGCTGAATGCCTCTGCCTGAGTAAGCTCAGCTGCACTGCGTGGGGCAGAGCCACACATCAGAGCCCCATCAACCCACAGAATTGGGAGAAATAGTGTCATTGTTTTCAGCGATCGCACTTTGGAGTGGCTTGTTATGCAGCAGAAGATTATTGAAACAATGTCATAGGGACAGGATCTTGTGGCTCTGGGTCTGTCTTTTATCCCATCTGCATACACACCTCCCTCCCTAATCCTCCACCCTAGGGATGGTAATTTTACTGATGAAATTCTACAGTAATCATGGGGCCATGTCTACTAAAGGGCCTCTTCACTGTAATTAAAAGGTGGTTCCCTGGTAGTTTCCTTTCATTGGCTCCTCTTACTCTCTGTATGCATGTCTTACTGAAATCCCTGCTTTGGGCTGTGGTGGGAGACAGGAGCCCCACATAGGTTCCCAGTTCACTTTTAACTGAGAAGTCTCATGGACATCTCAGGCACTGATGCAGCTAAGAAACTACTACTCTGTTTGCTATTTGAATCTGTTCCTTGTATTTCTCTTCTTTGGAAAAGCTGAAAGGAATAGGGAAACTTGTCAGGGCAAAAGCCAGGTGTTCCTGAGTTCCTCGCAGAACCTCGTGCACATTTCTACCTTTTACACTGGGTTTTACCATAATAAAGTCATAATTTTTAAAAATGTTTATTTATTTATTTTGCGGGAGAGAGATCTCTCTCTCCCGCAAAATAAATGAGCAGGGGACGGGCAGAGAGAGGAGGAGAGAGAGAAAGAGAGAATCCCAAATAGGCTCCACACTGTCAGTGCAGAGCAGTGCAGTGGAGTTCAGTGCCACTAACTGTAAGACCATGAGCTGAGCCAAAATCAAGAGTCAGATGCTTGACTGACGGAGCCACCTAGGTGCCCCAAGTCACAATTTCTTAACTCATTTTTTTAATCAAAAATATGCTACAGGGGCACCCAGGTGGCTCTGTCAGTTAAGCGTCCAGCTTTGACTCAGGTCACAATCTCATGGTTTGTGAGTTCCAGCCCTGCATTGGGCTCTGGGCCGACAGCTCAGAGCCTGGAGCCTGCTTTGGGTTCTGTGTCTCCCTCTCTCCCTCTGCTCCTCCCCTGCTCATGCTTTCTCTGTCTCTCTCAAAAATAAATACACATTAAAAAAAAGTGTTACAAGTATATATATGTGTGTGTGTGTATGTGTGTGTGTTATATATATATATATATATATATATATATATATATATATATATATATAACATGTATATATCAGTAAAAAAAATCTGCAGTGTAATTTTCAAGGACAAAATCATATCCCATTATATGGATCTCCAATATTTTGCTGAACTGGTAAATTTTAAAAATGTAGGTTCTGCCTTTCTGCTATTATAAAAAAAAATACTGTGCTGAATATTCTTGAAGCTCAATGCTTGTATGCATCCTTAATTAATTTCTTAGGATACTTTCATTTCATAGAAATGGAATTTGGAATCCAAAGAGTATGTGAATTTTTTAAGCATTTGATAAATAGTGCCAAATTCCACATCTCTCCCCAGACAGATTGTACCACTTTGCCCTCTCAGGGCTGTATGAATATGACCATTGTCTGTGATCCTCACCATCACTGGTATTTTTATGTTTTTACCAATTTTATGAGAGAGAGGCTATCCTAATGTCTCCATTTCCATTTTTTTAAATTATAAATAAAGCTAAATGCTTTTCCAAGGTATATTGGTCTTTTTGCTTCTTGCTCTGCAGCTTGACTATAAAATATTTATACATTTTTAAAATTCCTATGTATGGCCATGTATCCACAAAACATCCCTTTGGCCCTCACATATGTGATTAGGGTTTGAAAAATGTTTCTCTAACTGGTTGGAGAAGTATCAGACCCCCCAAAATGCTGAAAAAAAGTGTTGATGTAGTTCTGGAATTGCCATGAGAGCAATCGGAAAAGTGGGACCATCTTTTTAATAATCTCTTGCACCTGGAGTTGCTTGATTGAGCCCTTTGGTCCCAGCGTGGAGGACATCCCTCCAGTGGGGTTTGTAGCATGTGCAGTATATCCTAAAACTCATTTTTCCCCCCACGGAAGTTGACAACAGCAAGAGTTGACAAGAAGCCATCTTGAGCACAATTTCCAAATTGTTGTCTTCTTTTTTCCTCCTTGTAATCTCTCCCTCCTTAGTGTTGGTCCGTAACCTCCTTGGGAGCTACCTGAGTACAATCTGAAACCAGCTCCTGTGCGTGGAGGGCAGGGAGAGCCCCAAGAAAAAGGCAGGCCACTCCAGGTGGGTAGGTGGCAGGTTTAATAAGCAAAGGGAACTTACATATGATGTTGTCTTGGGCAACAGCAAAACAGGGGATCCCTACACCTGCCTGCCAAACCTTTAAAGTTTGCATAAAGGCCGTAACTGGGTTCAGTCATGTTCATGTACATCGTGAAGGTGTTTTCAACACCACACCCCATTTCATGGCTATATCTTACATCCTTGGAGCAGCCTCTGAGAGTAGGAAAGGCAAACAGAACCCACATTTCAAGGACAGAAGAGGGAGTGAGGAGACTCTGATGGCCTGGGTCCAGTTCATGGGTCGATGTGTGGTCACATCTTTTCTATGACCTTCCCCAACACTTAGCCTCTACACAGCTCTATTTTCAGCCTTGCATCTGTAGACTGAACCAGAGAAGATCTCTGGAGGCCAGCAGTCATGTTTTATTTTGTGTGATCAAGGGCCAACTGTACATCTGAATATGGTTCTCATAGGCCATTTTTTTTTGGATTATATGATCATTTTTAATTTTAATAAAATAGATAATTTCATATTACATAGAGAGCAAGTCCATCCACTCATCATTGATAAAATTCTAGAAATATTTTCTATGAAAAGTTTAGTACTTGATTGGGAATGAACCCATTAGAACATGATTTCTATAGGTACCATGTTCCCATCCTCACCCCCATTCTTACTAATTTTGAGAAAATTTAAAAATACAGAAAAGTACAAAAAATAAGACAAGATATCCACATACCACAATCAGAATTATCCAGTATTTTGAGATATTTACTTGCAGTCTTTAGTTCTTAAGAGAAATGGATATTTATATATAAAAATGAACACCCCCCCCTTTAAACAGTCCCCATCCCAACCCTCCCACCCTCACCCCCTTCCCTGCTCCACTCTTCACAAGCAACCACTATCAAGATTTCGGTCTGTATCCTTGCAATCCATTTCAAAAACATTTTAAAAACATACATACATATATGTATCAATTACCAATACAACATACTGAATTTCGTGAGTAAAGTTTTAGTTAAAATTTACAGAAATGCATTGTAATATATGTGTTATTCTGCAACCTCATTTTCCCCCTTCAACATGACTTTTGAGATCTTTCTCTATAATGCATACAGATCTCATTTGTTAAATTTTACAGATATACAGTATTCCATCATAAGTATTTTCCGTTTTGTTCCCGATGGGCCTTTAAGTCGTTTCCAACTTACGGCTAACTACAAATCATGCCACAGGAAGCACACTGGTACATATTTCCTAAGCATACAAATTCAGAGAATTTTTGAGCTCGTTATAAGGGATGTCTCCCTACTCCGAAGGTCATAACCATTTCCGTATACAGCTTCTATTCTTGTTTTTATCCTCTTGGCTCTTACCTCTGTTTACAGTTCATGGTCTGTTTTTTCTTTGGGGAACAAATTACCTCCAAATCACTTTTTACATAGTCCCATTATCTTCTCACCTCCTATTGCCATTTCTATCATATTCTAAATTTTAATGGATGCATAGGTGTTTCCGGAATCTCTCCTGTTCTACTAAATCAATACCATAAAAGTCTCTTCCTTTCCAATACTTAAAACTTATTTTTTGGTTACATTGGTGAAGATCTCCAGATAAATGCAGACAGCAAGAAGAAGCATGTTTGGTGGAAATGCATCTAAAGTTTCAGCATTACCTAGGCCATCAGCTTTTTTTTTGGGGGGGGCAGGATTTTTATCATATAAATGTCTTTCTCTTCAGTATAAATTCCATGGTGTCCAGTAAGTTTTTAGCTTTTGATTTCCTCATTTGCGATATCTTCTTACAGTATGATCATTTCTGATGTGCTATGAGGTTTAAACTCCTGATGAACACTTTCCAATTTTTAAGATATTTATAGGGTTTTTAATGAGTATGAATTTTCTGGTGTCTAATATGGTATGACTTCTGGCTAAAAGCTTTCCCACATTCACTACATTGATAAGGCTTCTTATCTGTGTGTATTCTCAAATGCAGAGCAAGGGTTGAGAATTGAGAGAAAGCTTTCCCACATTCATTACAACCATAGGGATTTTCACCTGTATGGCTTCTCACATGCACAGTAAGACATGAACTTTGAGAGAAGGCTTTTCTGCATACATTGCATTCATAAGGTTTATCACCTGAATGAATTCCCACATATATGATAAGTGATGTTCGTTGAGAGAAGGCTTTTCCACGTTCATTACATTCATAGGGTTTCTCTCCAGTGTGAATGTTTTGATGTTTTATGAGGTACTTCTTCTGGCCAAATCTGTTCCACATTCACTACATTTAAAGGGTTTCTCTCCAATATGAATTTCCTCACGCTCAGTAAGGTTAGATTTGCCACTGCAGGTTTTTCCACATTCCTTACATACAAAAGGCTTCTCTCCCGTGTGAGTTCTCTGGTGTCTGATGAGGTTTGACTTCTGAATGAAAGCTTTCCCACAATCCTTAAGCTCAAAAGGTATCTCTCCAGTGTGAATTTTCTGATGGGCGAGAAGGTTTTCCTTCAGGCTGAAGGATTTTCCACACTCGTTACATTCGAAAAGCTTCTCTCCAGTGTGGGTGTTCTGACGTTTAATAACATATTGCTTCTGGCTAAAGGCTTTTCCACATTCGTTACATTCATAAGGTTTCTCTCTATTATGAAAATGTTCATGCTCAGTAAGATTTGATTTGTGGCTGAAGACTTTCCCACATACCTTACAGGCAAAGGGGTTTTCCCCACTCCAAGTTTTCTGCTGACTGAAGTGTGACATATGAACGGAAGCTTTCCCACATTCACAAGGTTTCTCTCCAGTATGAATTTTTTGATGAATTAGGATTTACTTTTGGCTAAAGGGATTTCCATATTTCTTAACATTTGTAAGGATTCTGTGTGTATGACCTTTCAAATGTAGAGGAAGGGATAAAGTTCGAGAGAAGTTCGACAGAAAACTTTATCATACTCAGTACATTTAAAAGCTTTCTGTCCAAATTTTCTAAGAATCAACGAAGTTTTGTTATATTCACTGGTTTCTCTCCAGTAAACATTTTCTTCTGCTCAGAGATCTGTCATCTAGCTAAAGGCTCTTCGGTATTCCTTAGTACATGGTCTCTCTTAAGCCTGACTTCCACATTTAATGAGGTGTGACATGTGAGTGAAAGTTTTGCCACATTCAGTAATTTCATAGGGGTTTTCTATGGGTTCAAATGGTTTTAACTGAAGACATTTCCGCACTGATTTACATTTAAAGGGGGTTATTAGCATAAGGAGAGAGCAGTGGAAGGATTTCCTAATTAAACTGATGATTCTCCCCTACACAACTTCCCTCATGATTAAGTCTAAATTGTGTTTCAAACTCTTTCCAGGTAAGTTGAAAAAGGTGTTTCCTTAAAGATATAAGGTCTGAGATCAGAGAGAGGAAGTGTCTTTCCAATTTTCTTAGTTCACTGCTTTTTTTCCTCAGTCTGTACTTTACTGGAGATGGATGCAACTTGCCTCCCAAGTCTTGTTGCCTCTCTATCTGCTCATCATTTTCTCAGGCTTCTTCTGAACAAATTTTCTTTCCACTTTGTTCTCCACCATCCAGAGTTTGTCTTCTTGTTCCAACAGAGGATCACGTATGGTGTAGTCGGTTTATAACCTGCTATTGGGGAAATGACACAGCACTAGAATATTAATGCTGGGGGCCAAAGTACCATCCTAGAACTCAGGCTGAGCCCTGGGGCCTCCCGGCCTTCTGAATGAGGAAGAAGGTGCAGTTTCCAGGGATGCACAAGGAAACGGCCCTCCTACTTTTGCGCCACATGGACCCAGGGGCCGGACTGTCTCATAGGCCATTTTCTTCTGATTTTTATCATAAAGCTTACAGCAATTATTCTGACTGAACAAGGCAAATTTCATTCAGATTGCCCCTCAGATAAATACCATGGTATGTATTAAAAGTATGTATGCTTTAAGCGCTATCAACAATATCCAAAGTATGCAAGAGCCCAAATGTCTACCGACAGATGAATGGATAAAGAAGATGTGGTATATACGTATATACAATGGAGTATTACTCGGCAATCAAAAAGAATGAAATCTTGCCATTTGCAACCACGTGGATGGAACTGGAGGGTATTATGCTAAGCAAAATTAGTCAGTCATAAAAAGACAAATCTCATATGACTTCACTCATATGAGGACTTTAAGATACAAAACAGATGAATATCTGGGAAGCAAAAATAACATAAAAACAGGGAGGGGGACAAAACATAAGAGACTCTTAAATATGGAGAACAAACAGAGGGTTACTAGAAGGGTTGTGGGAGGGAGAATGGGCTCAATGGGTAAGGGGCATTAAGGAATCTACTCCTGAAATCATTTTGCACTATATGCTAACTTAGATGTAAATTAAAAAAATAAATTAAAGAATAATAAATAAATAAATAAATAAATAGGCAACATTGTAAAAAAAAAAGTATGTATGCTTAAGATAAAAGCATTTTGAAAAAAACAGACTATCATTCTTTTTCTTGTCTTTTATTCTTTTGTGTCTAAGAGAAAAAGAATGTAATACAGGGGCCAATTTGTGATGAATTACTTTTCTGATGGTATCATCTAGGGACATTTTGTGGGATGGGGTGCTTGATGTTTTTCAAGACTGTATTTTTAAGACATGTATTTCAGACTCTGAACACCTCCAAGACCTCTGATTTGAAACTGATGATTCCTTGTGGTTCTCTTATCCATGAATTTATCTAAACTTCTTTATTTTTAGCTCATATGGAATTTCTGGTCATGAATTTGTTAAGTCTTGACTTTCATCTTTCAATATAATTTAGTATTTCATATACTTATCCTCTAAGAACTTCCTCTGTTTCTATTAATTTTTTTTTCATTCAAGGGAAGTTATCTCTTATTTAATTTATTTCTCTTTTGAAAAGCAATCCATTCTTTGCCAAATAAATGCGGGCTCTGGGGGTTGTCAGGCAACTTTCTTAAAAACTCTCGTCAGCCAATCATAAAGTCTCCCTTGGGGCCAGCTTTATAGTTCTCTTCTCCACATTTAGGGTGAGGCTTGGGAAACTGTTTGTTTAACAGCTCTGCTTGAGCAAAGAGTATCTTTCTTGGCCATAATCTTCCTCGATGATGCAGCTCCAATACAATAATATTTGAAGACTTCTTAAGCCTGTCAACCAGCCACCCATTATTTAACTTCAAAAGAACTACATCTGCTCTTTGAAAGTAGTTCAGAATAGTGTCTGAAGAAGACTAGCTTCAATAGTGAAAAGGGAAAGAATACATGGGGGACAAGTTAAAGAATGGGGGAACAATTCATATTTTTGTTCTTTAGCCCAGATAAACTACTAGGAATGCATTGTTAATCTCTGTCACGTCCATCCTTTTGGTGCTGGTCTTTGGTGATGTTGAAGCAAGAAGCAATGAAAATAGAGGAAGGGGTAGAGGACATTGCCTCTCCATGCTGGTTTTGGAGCAGGACACTGCCCTCCTCTGCAGACACTACCATGATTTCATTCTCCTCCCAACTCCACGTTCTCAAATGTGTGTTGTCAACCCCTTAGGTTTTCTGAACGATCTTCTAGGATGGATCATTACAGGTGCCAAAAATAAACAAATTGTTCCTCGTGCCATCAAGCAAACAGCTTGCAACCAAAGCAACCACCACTACCATTTTTGAGTCACTACTACGTGTCAAGTCCTGTGTTTAATAAAACCCATTATGTCCATTAGTCCGTGTGATAAACCCACCCACAAAACTAGAAGATTATTTTATTATTCCCATTTTTTAGATGAGGAAACTGCGGCTTAGTAAGATTGATCAGTCACTTGCCAAAATCTAAAACTGATGAGTGGACCAGAATTTAAATCAGATCAGGCTGACTTCAGACTGCATACCCTTCATTGTCGTGTGGATGTGATTGCTATGGAAAGAGCCTAGGTTCATAGGAATTGAAAGGGAACTTCTCCGCTCACCTCATTTTACCAATGGGAGACTTGAGGTCAAGACATGGGCAAGAATAAGCCTTAAGGCATTTAGTTTTGTGATGGCAAAGATTTTCACGTAGGTCTTTCCTGAATTAAAAATTAATAAATTTTTAAAATAAATTTTAAGCACTTGTATTTGGGGAATTATAACTTAAATTTTACATATGTATATCACTTTTTTGAAAATCTTAATTCTACATTTTATCTTTCAGATTACAAGTCCAGTTTTCCCCAAAATATACCTCGCACCTTTCTGTAAGATACCCCCAGGCACCGTCACGCTGAGCATGAGCATACCATTTCGAAAACATATTAGTTTTTTATTGCTGTATAACAAACTACCACAAATTTAGCAAATTAAAACAATATGCATTTATTATCTCATAGTTTCTGTGGGTCAGGAGACCAGACAAAGATTGCTGTCCTCTGCTCAGGGTCCCATAAGGCTGCCGTCTTGGTGCAGGCCATTCCTTTCTGGAATTCTGGATTCTCTTCCAAGCCCAAGCTCACATGGTTTGGGGCAGAATTCAGCTCCGCAGCTGTTAGAATTGAAGTCCCTGCTTTCTTGCTAGTTGTCAGCCAGAGACCAGAGGGTATAGTGGCTCCTGGCTGTGTGGCTCTTTCAGGCATTGTCTTATTTGGTTCTGGCTGCTATTGACAAAGTACTATTGTCTGTGTGGGTTATAAAAAACAGAAATTTATTTCCTACAGTTGTGGAGCCTGGAAGTCTGGGATCAGAATGCCGGCATAGTGGGATAAAGGCCCTCTTCCAGTTTTGCAGATTGCTACCTTCTCCCTATGTTCTCACATGATGGAAAGAGAGCAAGCTAGTGCTCTGGCCTCTTCCTGTAAGGATGCTAATCCCATTCATGAAAGCTCCTCCCTCATGATCTAATCACCCCAAAGACTCCACCTCCAAATACTATCACAATAAGGATTAGATCTCAACATACGACTTTTGGAGGCAGGGAGCACAAATATTCACTCCATGGCCGAAACCCTTTCACAACATGGCAGTTTGCTTCTTCGAAACCCGCAGGAGCATCTCTTGGTCCAATCTGCTAACATAAGTTGACATAATCATGAGACTGACCATCTCATCACCTTTGCTGTATCTCTTGGCCAGCATCAAGTCACAGGTTCTATCTGCAGTCAAAGGGGTTGTACAAGGGTGTAACTCATTGACGGTCTTCTTAGAATTCTGTCTTCCACAGGAGAGACAGTTCAGAGGTGACCAAAAATTCCAAGATGATGTGAAATTGAAAGTGACAGAATGTCCACACCATGTGAACTCAGGACTAATCTGGCCTCAAGGGTCTCAGCCAGAGGAACTTTAAACAAGTAGCTTCACACCCTGGAGAAACTAATTTAATTAGTCTAAGGTGAGGCCTGGGCATTGCTTTTTAAAAATCTTCCCAAGTGATTCAAATCCCCAATGTCCAGGGCTGAGAAATATTACCTTAGCCCAACTACTTTAGTTCACAGATGAGGGACTTAAAGCCCAGGAAGGCTGTGTCTTCTTGAAGTATATGTGTCCTGTTAGTGGCAAAGCCAAGATTAGACCCAAGCCTCCTAGCATGTCAGGCTGTCCTTGAACTGGACAAATACATGGCATCTTGTGGAAGTTGTCTGACTTGTCATGTGGGCCTTTAAGGCAAAAAGTTCCCAAACTGTAAGCAGGTTTAACCAAAACCAGTATAAGTTCTCTCTGCTGCTGTGCAGACAACTTCTCAGCACGAATATGGATTTTCTTAGATTGAGCTCTCTGTCACCAGCTTCAAGAGCAAAAACATAAATAAA